AAATCGATTGGTTGCCTCCTACACAAGCCCCAACCAGGGAGCAGACTGCAACCGAGGTACAGGCCCTTGACCAGAATCGAACCTGGGACCCTTCAGCCCTCAGGCCGATGCTCTAGCCACTGAGCCAAACCAGCCAGTGCTGCAGCTCCGTTTTGCTGAGCACAGTAGCAGTGCTTATGAGAAGAAAACTACCTTTTCTTTCTCAGATACTGGGGGTCAAATATTGGCAGAAAACATCTGCTATCTGCTATGGATTTAAGGGGAAAATCTGTTCTAAATACCCAAAGTCCATGATTGCTTCCTTCTCACCTGCATTTTATACTCTTCACCGCGGCCTCCTGTGGAAACTGTATTGTCACATTTGGTTTCCTTAAACTCAATTCAGCCACATAGTAACTATCACCTCCCTCTTCCCCTTTTAAGGAAATAAAATAAGTTGAAGTCTTTGGTGGGATAAACCAAGGTCCCGATAACCAGTTCAGGGTTAGGTGGAGAAGCTGAGGTCGGACAGCATTCTTTTAGAAACGTGTCTCATTTATGAGGGTCGGGAAATCTGAGATACCCTCATTCAACTCCCCTATTTGTAAGTGAGGACACTAGAGGCTGGAAGAGAAAATTCTAGCTGGATCCCATGCTTTCTGGCTCCCAGGCCAATGCTCTTCCAACATACCAAGATGGGCAGGCTACGCAGGAATGCAGTGGTGGTCTGAAGCACTTCATGCGGGAGAATGGGACATGATAGCTATGAATCATTTGTCTATGAATCACCTCAAAGGAATCACCTAAAGCAGGCTTTGCCGTTTTATATTGAGATAAAACGAGGAACTCAGGTCTTCCAACACCGTCACATTACAAAGTTTGAAATGAATATTAATTTTCAATAAAGGCACTTCAGTGGGGGGGAAAAAAGTGATAGCTGAGCAAAGAACTTCCAGTTTTTATTTTTTAAACATTTGAAAAGAAACACATTCAACCAAACTTTTAAAAATTAGATGGATTAATTTACAATAAAATAGGCAACTGAAAACATCAGCCCTTTCACGTAGGGCCACGGAGGCCAAGAGCTGCCGTTCACACAGCAGGATTGCACAATCAATCATTGACCTATATCTGATGGCACAGAAATATAAACGTCACACAACATCCATCGAGACCCCTTCCCTCCAGAGTAGAAGTCACACAGTTGCTTCTAAGGTCAGTACTCAGGCTTTTAAAAATCACCAGTTATTTATGAAATATGTCAACAACTATTTCAATGACAACACTTTTCAAACAATTCTAGTAGGGAACACCTTCCAATCATTGTGGCACACCAGACTGCTTCAGGAAACAGCAAAGATGTAAAACAACGCACAAAGTTACAGTCCCTTGTTTATGAAAACAACCCAAATAAAAGATTTCCCCTAATGAATAATCCTGTTTCTTGTAACCTGTTAGCAGAGATGAATTACAAGAAGCAGAGCGCACCATTTTTTTGGTTCTTTGTTGTAGCTGCCAGCTTAAGAGTTCATGACTGTAAATGTAAACCAGAATAGGATTATGCTCAACGATTCTGGAATGGGGGGAAAAAACAAAATAGCTCTTTAAAGTGTTTCTCTATTCTTGGTTTCAAGTCAAGACAAAAAATTCACAGCAGGTTAAAGGACGATGAACAGACTAAACACAGTGCCCACTAAAATACATACTGAGAACAATTTTACCATTTCACTCCTAAAGTGGAAACTGTAACAAGTATGGTACTGTATTACCACGTAACGTTCTACAGTAAGCTGTTGGAGCAAATACAGCACTTAACAGGTCAAGCGCGGTAGCCTTGAGACAGAACATCCTATTTTCACACTCTTGAACATGCAACCTTTAATAAAAAACAAAGTAATGTGTAATTTGCAACAGCTGGCCAGGCACTTAACTTGGGGAGAGAGACTTTCAGATGTTGAGGTAAATTAGAATTGTTTTCAGCAATGACAAACATACTCTGAACACCACACTTTGTACCACTCTAACTGAAGCTTTTCAGCATTGAACTGTAACTTTGTCACTCTACTGGGCCAAAATTCAAACCTAAATGTAACTTAAGAAGCTATTAAAAGAATATTTTCAAGTCTGAATTTTGGCCTCATTTAGAGACTTCTGTGCTTACAACATACTTGAGAGAATGGTAAGGTACATACAAGGGCAATGGGTACAAGCGCCCCCAATCTGATATCCTTCCCCCTAAAGTGACATCAGAAAAAGAATCATACTGTCAGTAACATACACAAGAGGAGGAAGAGGGAGACAAGGACAAATGGGGGCAACTGAGGTGACAAGCCTCAGTCCAGCCTCGAGAAAAATGACAAAGTGCCTGTCTGGCCAGCGTGCACAGTGGTTGAGCCTTGACCTATGAACCAAGGAGTCACAGTTCAATTCCCAGTCAGGGCACATGCCTGGGGTGTGGGCTCGGTCCCAAGGAAGGGGCGTGCAGGAGGCAGCCAAGTGATGCTTCTCTCATCATTGATGTTTCTCTCTCTCTCCTCCTCTCCCTTCCTCTCTGAAATCAATAAACATATGTCAGAAAAAGAAACATGACAGAGTAACGCTCCGAAAGCAGCAGCAAGTCCCTGCCACCAGGTGTGCCCGCGCTGTGCAAACTCAGGAGCCCGAGCAGCGCGGCTCGCTGACTCATGAAGCTCTGGACACAGCACAGCTCTGCCTCTCTTCCGTCGTCAGTTCAAGGCAACGTGGAGCTTGCTTAATGCGTGAAAGTTCATATTAGGAGACAGAGGACCTCAGTAAGTATTTACATATTGAAAGACCAGAGCAGAAAGTGACCATTTTGGAACTAGGCTTTTTATCAAGTTACCTAAGTCTATTTTTCATTAGAATTACCAAGATATTTGCAAATGGAAAAGCCAAGTTTCCCAAATCCTCAAAACTAACAATTCATTATGGTTTCCATTCCTTTCTTAAAGGAATTCTAATTCAGTGGCTTCTTGCTCTGAGCACTCAGCTTCTGTTAGCTCGTATGCAGACTAACTCATCATCACCGCGTCTAAAACTCTTTAAAAATGTAAAGGAAATTTTAAAACATTTGGATCGGAGGCACCCTCATTCTAAGAACATAATGACAAAAACAGTGGCTTCCTTTCGTCTCCGGGGACACTCTGTGTATGAAGACTGCTAAGCTGCCCCTCCTCGGGGCACCCAGCCTTTCCCGGCATGAGAGGGACTTGTGTGGCCTGACCTTCACGCGCCCTGCAGGGTAAGAGCATGCACTCGGCCGGCCGCCAGCCGGGGATCCTGGTGCCGGAGCAGGCGTGGGAGAGCTGCCCCCTCTGTGATGCTAACGGGCTTGCTCAGGTTTGAAGCGGGGACCCTGGTCCATTTAGCACCATCTTTACTCAACTGAGATAATGACTCAAACTGCAGTCGCTGTGGGTGAGGACGTTCTATACATCACTAAGATGCCAAGCTATGTACTGAAATGTGTCTGTTAATATATTATGTCTGAGGCTTGAAAATCATTGATCACAATATTAAATAAAACAGCATCAAACGTTTACAATTTTGCACACCTGCAAATGTAGAGCTTTCTGGGAGCCCAAATTTAAATACAAACGGAAGTTCATTGAACATCAGGTTAACCAGTAAGCTAAAAGAAACAAATCACATACATTTTATAGTTAGTAACCTACAAAAAAAAAAGTGGAGCACAGGTGAAAATCAAGAGAAATAGAATTGTTTCCAGTTTCATCTTTCTCCTGGGAGAACCTAAAAACAGGTCAAAGCCAACTTCATGTAGGTTAAAAAGTGGCATCTGCTACTGTATCGGCACATCTTTTCCTCAAAGGTAGACAGTTCATAGACGTAACTCAGACATTCATTTGCACGTGTAACGGTTTTTGAAACATCCACTCCACTGAAGTATACAAACCATTTCTAGGAAAAAGGCACTTCATTGTGAAAGTTAAATTTAACTGCATGAAAGTCGAGAAGAGCAGGAGAGACTCCAAAGTCTGTATTCACTTTTGTATTTCCGAACACAGAGCAGATGCCGATTTATAGAGTATAGCAGATAACATTATAAACAAACCAAACACCCACATTAACTACATTCTCAGCAAAACAGAAATTTCTGACATTTCCCCCCAAAAGCAACAGAGTTCCAGGTTCAAGAGTCAAAAGAAGAAAAGGTAATCACCAGCAGTTGCTACATTAGAGCTCAAGACCTTGTTTTCTAGAGAATTTCATGTCTACGGTTTGGTTCTCTGTTTCAGAGCATGAGTTGCTTTTCGGATGTAAAACCTGGGGTGGCAGAAGTGTCTGGGGAGAACCCAGAGTGGAAAATATTGGGGAGTAACAAGAGGTTCGCTTCTCTGGCCAGACAACCGAGGGAGGAGGTAGTTACTCTGAGATCTCGGAGGGAGAATGTGGTACTGATCTAGGGAGAGGCGGGAAGAGCAGAGCTTCTCTGAGAGACTGAGACGGCAACAGGAATACTGGTTTCTCCTCCAGGAAGTCAGGACCAGGGTGTCAGTGCAGCTGAAACGAGACGGGACGTGCGTGTAAATGTCACCAGAGAGTGCAAGAAACACAAGGTGAAGACATCAGTACGAATGACAAGCCATTCCAAACGTGTCCTACCTGGACAGTGGCTCTTTTCTGATGCTAGAACTTTCGAAGTATCTATAAGAAAAGAAGGCACACCGAGTCATTATCATCTAGTTTTAATGTAGTGATTCCTCAAACTCCTGGTCAGTGCCAAGAATGTGGTATTCATACATTTCATAAATAACGTCTTCTAATGTTTAACATTATTGACAACGGAACCATGTCTGTAAAATAATGTTTAAAAAACAGGTTAAACCTCAATACTCTGAGGAAGGGCATCGTAAGGAAAATATTTCCTAGTTGTGAGAAATTAGCAGGTAAATGACATAAAAGGTAATAGCAATGCTCCTGCCCACCTCCTCCCCGCCACCCGGTGTGTCATTCTGCCCCGAGCCCACGTGCTCACCTTGTTACATCACCGCACAGGGCAGCCCCATGCAGCCTTGGGTCCCGTCATCGCTGCTGTTGAGTTTTTTCATCCGGTACTGACGGATCTCTCTCACCAGTGTGTAAAAGGCATCTTCAACACCCTGTGAGAGAAAACAAAAAGACAGCCTAAAAGACCCGATCCAAGATGTGAGCTCTCTCTCACTACTTTATGTGAATTTAGAATCCCAATTATTAAATCGTAAGCTGATAAAATAGGGTGGCATAGAAGGAGGACACTGAAGTTAGCATTCCTACAGAATCCCATTAAGAGGCTGATACACAAATGGCACATTTTGCAAAAATAGCATGTAAAGATTCCACTCAGCAGAACTTAAACCCTAAACAGCGGCTGGTGTTGCTGGAGAAAAGACGAATGCTTATGAGTATCTGTAATCAAAGGCCTTCATTTTAGTGCCATGTGTGCATGTGAAAATGTAGGAGTATGAATGTCACACCAGGATATTAACAAGTTCATTTTGGGTTTAAAGCGAAGATAAAAATAGAACACTATTAAAAATCTGTAACAGCCCTAACCGGTTTGTCTCAGTGGATAGAGCATTGGCCTGCGGACTGAAGGGTCCCATGTTCGATTCCGGTCAAGGGCATGTACCTTGGTTGCGGGGACATCCCCAGGGGAGGGTGTGCAGGAGGCAGCTGATCGATGACTCTCTCTCATCGATGTTTCTAGCTCTCTCCCTTCCTTTCTGAAAAAATCAGTAAAATATATTTTAAAAAATAAAATCTGTAACAAGAAAGAATGTGGATCACTTCTCTAGCAAAGAGTCCATCAATCCAACTTTTCTGCCTCAGCAAACCCTTGCCCGGAGCTGGAAGCTGTGTTCTACCTGTCTGGTCTTGGCTGAGGTTTCGATGAATGGAATCCCGTAACTCTTGGCCAGTTCATGGGCCTGTTTTGTGTCCACTGTCCTTGTTGGTAAGTCACACTTGTTTCCCACGAGCACCATCGGAACATCATCGGAGTCCTTCACTCGCTTAATCTGTTCCCTGAAAAAGGGAATATGTTGTCAGAATAAGCCTTTGGAAGGAATGAACAAAAGAAACCTAACAAGTGTTATCTAGCCTACTAGCTTCCAGTAGTGAAGTTTCACTTTTATCCAGTCTACTAGCTTCCAGTAGTGAGTTTCACTGCCCAAACTCCCTTCTATTTATAGAAGACCTTACATAAGGAGACTGGTTTAGGCTTGATTCAGCAGCCACAGGATGCCAAGTACCAGTTCCACTTCTAGTGGGAATGGCTGGTTAGTCTACGTCGACATGTCCGTATTAGGCTCCTTGATTCTCAGAGATTGGCTCTTGATTTAACCGGCAACTCCGAATTGCACTCTAGATCACGGTCCAAAGTGCACAAAGTCAACTTCTTAATTTAGGGTTCCCTTGAGAGTGATGGTATTTGATGGAAGACAGTCCATCCATTTCTCTAAATGGGTGGTGTCCAGATATTTCCCTCCAACAAAACTATAGCTGGGAGTCAAGATATTATAGAAAACACCAGACTGCTCTTAGGGAAGGTTCTGGAATTCCCAACTGACAGCACTTCCTTCGGGGACATCTGACACTGAGCCGTTAGGAAATGACCGCTCCAGGTTCTCTTGACCAACCCTGTCCAGTGACTTCTTACCACAATGGGAATGTTCTACACCTGTCATGCCCACCATATCCACTAGTCCATGTAGTACTGAACACTGAGTCGGTGGGTACTATGGCCATGGAACTGATTTTTCAATTTAATTTTAGTTAACTGAAATAACCACACACTGCCCAGCACTGCTTTAAACCCTGCGCTTGGATTCCATACAAAGCCATGCACCTGACATGCATGACGGGGAGAGGGGGGGCAGGAGCCTATGCTAAGGGATACTGTAAGACAGCCTAAAAAGAAAAATAACTTCTGGAAATTCAGCCAATATTAGATGCTTGTTAGGTACCGCATTATTTCCAGAGAGGAAGTGGAAGACAGGGGAGCAGGGTTAGGAGGAAGAAGCCCCAGATTCGGTTTGGGACAGTGTGTTTCCGTGAGCAGATTTCTTCACAGACAGGGCAGAAGCCAGGACTCACGGCTGTAGGCACAACACTTGCACAGGCTTTCCTATGTGTGCAACACTGTTCTGAATGATTTCATGTTTATTGATTCATTCAATTTTCACAATTCTTGCAGATATAATAATTCCATATTATAGGTAAGGAAACTGAGGCACAGAGATTTAGTAGTTTGCCCCAAAGTCTCATGGCTAATCGATGATGGAGCCAAGTTTCAACCCAGGCATCTATATTCTTAACCATTACATTATTCTGCTCAAAGAAAATGGAGTGCCCAGCTGGGGTGGCTCAGTGGTTGAGCATCCACCCATGAACCAAGAGGTCCCGGTTTGATTCCAGGTCAGGGCACGTGCCTGGGCTGCGGGCTCGATCCCAGTGGGGGGTGCACAGGACGTAGCCAATCAATGTGTCTCTCTCGTCGATGTTTCTTTTCTTTTTCTTTTTTTTTTTTTTATATATTTTATTGATTTTTTACAGAGAGAAGGGAGAGAGATAGAGAGTTAGAAACATCGATGAGAGAGAATCATCGATCAGCTGCCTCCTACACACCCCCCACCGGGGATATGCTCGCAACCAAGGTACATGCCCTTGACCGGAATCAAACCCGGGACCTTTCAGTTCCCAAGCCGACGCTCTATCCATTGAGCCAAACCAGTTTCGGCTCTCGTCGATGTTTCTCTCTCTCCCCGTCTCTGAAATCAATAAAAAACAAAATACAAAAAAAATTTTTTTTTAAATAAATAACATGGAGCTAAGAAAAAGCGCCTTAAGAGTTTTTTGTTCCTGGCTCTGCTACTAATAACAGTCAAGACTCCAAAAACCTATTAAACTACCTTCTGAACCCTATTTCTGATTCTGTAAAATCAGAATGTTGTTTTCATTTTTATGGTCCAATTGAGCTTTGAAACTCTATGGTTTTACAGAGCAAGACAATCTTTACACACCTTTGCCCCAGCTTTCCTCTTAGCTTCTGCCCATCTTTTTTCTTCCTTTCATGATCTCTGTTACTTCCTGAACAATGTTTTTCAGGCATCTTCCTCTCTGAAATTCCTCTGTGACTGAAGAACACCTCTAGTTTGGAATCACTCCCACTAGCAAGCTTCCCTGATGCACTATCACGCATTCTAGCCACGGCACAGAATAACATTAAATAAATCCCAGCATTAACTTGCAGCAATAACCCTAGATTCTCAATGTCAAACAAACGAAAACCAACTAACTCATCTTTCCTAGTGTGGCATCCTCACACACAACCCCGCCCCCCCAACAAAGCTTCAAAACAAAGTTTAGAGATTATCCTTTCAGAAAAGAAAGAAATAAATAACCTGTAGAGGTTAATGTCTGCAAACGACTTGCTGTTGTTGATGGCGAACACACAGAGGAAGCCCTCCCCGGTCCTCATGTACTGGTCCCTCATGGCGCTGTACTCCTCTTGTCCAGCCGTGTCCAGGATGTCCAACAGGCAGGTCTCACCGTCTATCACCACCTGCTTTCGGTAAGAATCCTGGGAGGAGGGGAAGAAGGAGATTCTACTTTTACTAAAAACCACAGGAAATGCAATGCCACTGCCAAGGTTAAAAAAGCTCCTGCCCAAGTCCATTTCTCTCTCTCTGGTTTGTCCCTCAAACTGCTAATATACAATCACAAACAAAATACTTAATGTCTTCCAGATCGTGTCAGCCTGCAGAAAGGAGAATGTGAACGCTCAGTGGCTGGAAAAGGTGAACAAATGTGGTCATTCTAAAGGCAGCTCTCGTCGGCCTGCGGACTGAAAGGTCCCGGGTTCGATTCTGGTCAAGGGCACGTACCTTGGTTGCGGGCACATCCCCAGTAGGGAGTGTGCAAGAGGCAGCTGATTGATGTTTCTCTCTCATAGATGTTTCCAGCTCTCTACCCCTCTCCCTTTCTCTCTGTGAAAAGAATTAAAATATTAAATAAAAATACAGAGTTGTCACATAAGAAGAATCTAGATGAGTTCAACACTCGCAAATGAGCTTTCAAGTTTACGGACATGTTAAAACTGTAACTTTTTAGGAAATCTTCAGCAGCTCATAAAAATGAACTCTTCTCCACAAACACGGACAGCTTTACTTATCGCATTCCCGGCCGCAGTCCCCCCAGGAGCGGCCCCCTTTCTTCCTGGCTCTCCTTCGCTGGAGGGTGAGGGCGAGGGGACCGGAAGGGGGGGACGGGGCAGGGCCTGCGGCGGCCTCACCTCGATGGTGGGATCATATTCGTCCACAAAGTGGTTCTGGATGAGCTGGATGGTCAGCGCGCTTTTCCCCACTCCGCCTGCTCCGACCACCACCAGTTTGTACTCGGTCATGGCACAGCAGCGAGACCCTGCGGGGGGAAGGCGGCGGTGGGTGGACGGAGCCGCCTCCGGCACCGCAGGCCTTTCCAACAGCGGCCGGACCGGAGCGGGAAGGGCGCCGGGGCCCGGCTCTCGGGGCTCCCCCCGCCGCCCCACCTCCCTCCCGTGCCCGCCCGGCCCCTCAGGACCCCTTCCTGCTTCCCCGCCGGCGCCCACCGTCCCCGAGGGCTCCGCACGGGACCCCGGCCCGGCCTTTGTCTCCCGCCCGGAACCAGCCGCCTCCGCTCCCGCCCCGCCCGCGCCGGCCTCACCTCCAGCCCCGGCGCCTCCGCTGCGGACGGGCTCGGAATCGCCACCGGGAGAAATGCTGGAGACCCCGGAACCGCCATGAACGGCCCCCACCGGGAGCGGCACTTCCGGCCCCGCCCGCTACGTCATCAGCCGGCGCCCCGGGCGCCCCAGGCCCCGCCCCGGCCACGTGGCCCCCGGCGCTGGCCGCGCCCGAGCCCGCCCCGCCCGCCCCGCCCCGCCGGACACTGCAATAACGAAAGCGCTGGGTGCTGGTGTCTCAAAAATCAGTAAAACTTTATTCGCTTCCATTCTTTCGCCATGAACAGAAAACTGGAGAAAGCAAGTGTTGTGTGTTTACAAAGACAATGGCCTCTTTACCCAGAGAGGATCAGAACCTCAATGACAACGGGGACGATAAGCGCCCTCCCCATCCCCTGAGCTGACCCTTGTCACCTTAGACAAAGCTTTCAGTCCACCGGCCAGGGCCCTGCGTGGCCAATTCAAGATGAGGGCCAAGCAGTCGGACCAATCGGCCCCCGTGATAAAAAGTTGAACAGAAGCTACACCAAAGGTCAAGTGCCTGCATGTCACAGGACACAGGAACCGGGCGGCTACTTACAAAAAAAAACAAGATTCGTTTCAGGCACAATTTTTTTTATTTTTTTGTTTGTTTTGTTTTAAATCAGTAAAAGAAACTGGGTCCTAGAAGCTGCAGTGATCTAAGCAGCAGCAAGTTTGTGCATTCGTCGTTTAAATACGTTTAAATTATCACACTGCTGGCACACCTCATTTGCATGAAATTCTGCACCATACATACTAATTGTGGTAAATTAACCCCCCACCCCATCCCAGGGGAAAAAAAAAAAAAAAAAACTACTTTGGAAGATAATTTTCATTGAAATCTACCCAAAATTCGTTTAAGTGGACTGTGACAAGATTATAAATGATATGAAAAATAACATTTGAACATTTGGCCATCAACTTAAGAAAATCATTTGCCTATACAAATTTTTAAATTTTTAAAATATAGTCTACCCTCATATGGTCCTCAGAATTAAAGCATAATGAACAGGAAAGAAAAGGAAAAGAATGCAACTGAGTGCTAAGGCAGGACATCTTGCCAGAAGTAATGAAGGTAGAATATATGCTAAATATCAAGTGCAGAATTTCATACAGCCAACAAGGTAACAGTCTATATTGTTCACTTACACGGGCGAAGTAGATTTTGCAATTACCAGTTGCGTTAAATGCACCAAATAAAGCTCCTAAAATTGATACTACAAGGCGCCACCTTAAGTTTTCCAGGCTGCAACTGTGCATAATTTTAAAATGGTTTTCTTAAATTTATTTATTTTTTTTTAAACATAACATGAGGAAGGTGTTAAAACTGGTGTAATAGCTCAATAGAATAAGTATTCCAGAATTTGGGGAGGGATGAAGAGGGAGATATTCAGAACCCTTCACCAGAATCCCCCCAACTTGATCATCGTGGATGAATGGTGTGCTTTGTGGATGTGGTTAGTCAATGACACCAGCCTGACGGAGCTTTCTTTCTACACCAAATCCCTGTGAGAAAAAAAAAAATAGCAGTTAATGACCTGAGAGCATGACAATCACAGCATTCACAATCCCAGTGATTGTGAATCAAAGCATTACTTTTAATCATCTTAACCACTACCAGCTTTTTCCCAGAGGAAATCTTACATAGTAAGCCCTCCTACAACTATGTTCAAAGTATCAGGAAAACAAAGAAACGTGCTTCTTACTGGTAAGCAACCATTATGTTGGGGACTGAACCAATATGTAGGGAAGGGGTCCAAACTAGTTATAAGCAATACTAACGCTCCGTAAGCGCTCTGAGATAATGCTACTATAGAACCTCAACTATCATACTGGTCTGTCACATCACAACCTTTCCTCCCCCAAAACCCTGTACACCCTCCTCGTACCATTGAGTTGTCTGGTCCCCTTGGCTGGCGGAGAACCATTAGGCGAGGAGCACTGGCATCGTCCAGAGTGATGTTCTTCAAGCGATTGACCAACCTATCAGGTCTTGGAGCTGCAACGGCCTTGGGGCCCTCGCTATAAGCAAGTCAAGAAGTGAGAAGCAGCAGCATGTGGTGGGAAGAAACAAGTACTACAGAGTGTATTTCCCACCTAACTACCCAAGTGACTCAGTTTTAATGAGGGGGACTCTTGCCTCATTTAGCTAGCTAGCTAGCAAGACAGGACAGACAAGTTTATGTTTTTATTCCCATCTCAAGGTTTATTCCTGCAGAAGAGCTGGAAGAATCATTTGGGTGACGGTCATCCCTAGACTGGTCTGCATCCAGAAAGACCAGTTTTGCAGACATAAAACAAGGTAGTGGATGTGAAAAACCTTAGAAGAGTTATATATAAAGAAATATTTCCAGACTCCCAGCTTCTAGCATGGTAACAATGTTATTAAAAAATAAACAGGCAACCACACACACACAAAACAACAACAAAAAAACAAAAACAAAAAACAGAGCCAGAACTGCTAATCTATAAAATTAGACTTTTAAGCACCGTATAACCCAGAAATGGCTTAATGGAAAAAAAAAAAAAAACACAAATAAAAAGCTAAGCAGAATCCTTTAAGAACAAGGACTACATCTTCATTTTATTTTTATTTTTATTTCCTAATATATTTTATTGATTTTTTACAGATAGGGAGAGGGAGTTAGAAACATCGACCAGTTGCCTCCTGCACACCCCCTATTGGGGATGTGCCCGCAACCAAGGTACATGCCCTTGACTGGAATAGAACCTGGGACCCTTCAGTCTGCAGGCTGATACTCTATCCACTGAGCCAAACTGGTTAGGGCATACATCATCGTTTTATATTAAGATTTATTATATAGCAAGTGTCTAATTAATATTCCACTGGGCCAGATTTACGAAACTAAAAGTTTACACAATGAAGACTAGAGGTAAAAGATACAAAGTACCAAGAAATTGAGACAAAGTGAAAGAGAATTAAGAAAAGCAGATAGAAAGGTAAAGAAATGGGATAGTGCAGAGATTGCAAGTTGTCCAGGGAGGTTGTTAAACCAACAACAAACACTCACCAGACTCGCCAAACGTTACAAGCGCTGCACTTGCCGGTGCGCTGATTAAGAATCACTGAGAATTCCACCTCATCTCCAGCCTGTAGCTCAATGCCATCCTGAACTTCTTTCACATGGAAAAAGAGCTTCTTGCTATCCCCAACTTCATAGTTAATGAAGCCAAACTGAAATTTAAAAACAAAAACTCGCATCACAGGGGCAGAATGCCTCACAATGGGTGAGCCTAACAAGAAGGCGTTTACAGACATGGTATCCACACTGACGCTCCAGGTCAGCTGCCGGTGCTAGACCGGAACAGCATCACGAATCGGCAAAACTCACCAGGGCAGAAATACATACTTAACTCACCGCCATGACTATGACAGCCTGGCTAAAACAAATAGAAAGGTTGCCCTGTGCCTTTATATATGATATAAGCTAAATTTTTGAACAATGTAAAATCTTTAGTAAGTTGTTAAACATATACATTGTTTTGATCTCTTCCAAAATTAAGCATGGTTATAGTATTATATTATAAAAATCAACCACACAAAATACTTTATTTACAATACTGATATTTAAATGTCCTGGACTTAGAGGGGTTTTCTTGAGATCTCAGTGCCAGGAGTAAATTGTTTGCCCCAAGCTCATTCTATGAACACTTCTACACGTGGTTTCTTTCCTTGCATGGCTTACAAAAGAATCTCTGACCTTGAAATCTTTCTATTCTGACAATCTCACTCTAAGTTTAATTTCCTCATCATGTGATGTTAGTTATCAATACTCCCCTCAATATCACTATTTCCCCCATTCATGTGGTTTTCTTCTCCATGTTTATATAGGTTAGCTCAAATTATTGCAAAGAGGGAAAGTGGAATTAAAAACCAGATGAGTGTTGATGGAATCTCTGTTGGCTGAAAAAATTTCAAGGTTTGGTTACTATTTGGTTACCAACGCATAACGGGATCAATTTCAGATCCAGAGATACTGCCACTTACCTGGTCTTTCACACACTCCACAGTGGCCCTACGCAGAGGTGTGATGTTGTAAGCCATAGTCTGTGCATTTTGGCCCAGGACACACAATTGGAATTTGACACTCTCCCCTTTCTGCAGGCAATCCCCTTTGTTGGCCATTCCAACTATACCAAACGGATAGACCTCACCTTTCATGTCCCCTGTAGGGAGAAAAAGGTACAAAGACTAAAAGCTAATATTTCACAACAGCCTTCTGCTGATGATCCTAATAAATTTATAAAGGTTCAGAAAAATATTTTTTTACCCCTGAGATATTCTACTTTAAAAGCTTCAATGAAATCCTAAATACTACAATGAAAACAAACAAGAACTTATAGCTTATTACCTTAATAGCTAGTGAACAGTTTTAAATGAAATTAAAATGATACTATCACTTAACAATCTCATCACCCAAAATCTGAGCTTTTTAAGCACTATGGGTTACTGTATGATCCCTTTGATTATCTTCTTCTCAAAGTCAAGTATGAGCCAACAGAAGTATTTCTGACTTATACTCAAGTATGTATTAAACAATAAGCCAGGTACATTCAAAGACAATGTAAATAAATTTACTTGCCATTCTACCTCCTTTCTTTGCTCTGACTTTGACACCCTCAAATCAAAAGGCACCTTTTCCCTAAGTCACTTTTTCTAGAGTGCCGTCCTGTACACAAAAAGGTTGTGGGTTCAAATCCGGATCAGGGCAGCACAGACATAGGTTGCAGGTTCAACCCCAGTCTGGGCACGACAGATGTTTCTCTCTCACTCCTCCCTGCCTTCCTCTCTCTAAAATCCATGAAGAGTGTATCCTCGGACAACGATTAAAGAATAAAAGAGCTAGATGGTAAATATTATAGGTCATTCTATAAATCACAACTACTCAACCTTGCTGTTGTAGTCAGAAAGCTACCAAAGACAATACAAGGAGGAGCAGAGGTAGTTTTACAGTTGTTTATATAAAAAATAATACAATAAACTGTTGTTTCACATATTCATGACTGTAAACCTACTTTTGTCCACCTTGTATGTAAACGAGTGTCAGCTGTGTTTCAAAAAACAAACAAACAAACAAACAAACTTCAAAGAAACAAACCACAGCCGTAGGTGGTTTGGCTCAGTGGATAGAGCATCAGCCTGAGGACTGGAGGGTCCTGGTTCGATTCCAGTCAAGGGCACATGCTCGGGTTGAGGGCTCCAACCCCAGTAAGGGGCTTGCAGAAGGCATCTGTCAATGATTCTCTTTCATTATTGGTGTTTCTATCTCTTCTCTCTCTCTCCCTTTCTCTCTGAAATAAATAAAAACAAACAAAACAAAACAAAAACCCCCACCAGCCCTATCTGGTTTGGTTCAGTGGATAGAGTGTTGGTCTGCGGACTGAAAGGTCCTGGGTCTGATTCTAGTTCTTATATGGACTCATATTTAATCTTATTCTGAAGTTGAAGATATTATTCTCATCTAAAGATGAAGAAACTGAGCTAGGGGAGATCTAAGTAATTTGTCCAAAGTTATACAGCTAGAATGGAAGAGATGGTGTTCAGATCTAGGTCTCCCTGACTCCAAAGCTCATGGTCTTACCTTACATCGAGTTACAGATGTATTCCTGAATAAGGAAAGAACGGTTCTCACTATCAAGTGGCCTTGGCCTGTCTAGTTCCAGAAAATTCTAGGCTTAACAGATTTCAGAAAAGTTTTGGACTATATGCTATAGACATTGTTGAAGAATAAGTATATTGAAGGGTTGGGAATGCAAAAGTAAAAGGAACACTTAGAGAGGAAGAAGGGTGATCTGATATCTCACGAGTTAGCTGCCATGTCCCTCAAGCCCATTTCGGGGTACGGTGTCATGATGGCCTTACTCTAAAAGCCTGGTTTGCTATTAAATGAACTCGTATTTGGAGGTGTGCGCAGTGGGGCACTGGTTCTATGTAAAACACTGATTCCCGAAAACCTCATGAAGTAAAGAACATGCTACAAAGCTTCATTTCTCTCTCAGAAGACCTATTCTTCCCCGGTCTATGTTCTTCTGACTCACACACAACAGAAGGTTTCCTGTTTGTAAGCCAGGCCATCATCTTTGGTTGGAATTTCAAACCCTTTCATCAACCCAATTATTTTGGTAATTTTGTTAAACTAATTATCCACTGTTCCTACTATCATTTCTATTGCAAACTTATTTTACACACAAAGTGGACCTTCTTTGGTGGTAACTGTTAGGGAGCTGCTGAAGATGGGGAGAAAAAAGCAGAGAGTGGAAAATATAAGAGCCTTGGGCTTAGAGACAAGTAGTTGGTAAAATTCCCATGGAACCCTAAATATTAAGGAATAGATATCTTGAACTTTCACAGGGAGCATACGTTTTTATGTAATTGAATGATTAGAAAAATGTGTTAATACTGATGTAAATAACGAGTGAATAATAGAAAACACTATAAAGTTGTACTAAATCAAGTCAATTGTGAATATTTGTTTATCACAGACAATAAATGCTTTTTTTAAGTGTGAGATTCTGCTCTCAGCCTATTTCAATACAGTTCAGTTAGCTGCATATGCATCAGTGATCTGTTCACACAGTGGTCATTTGTTCACCACGTAAACGCAGGCTGATCCCGTTTCCAGGACATGGAAATAAAAGCCGTGCACGGGGAGGAAAGTCACTTTCCTTAGTTCAGTTTTTAAGGAATTTGGAAACAACTGCAATCCAATAGAGATGCTCTTACCTTCCTCCATGATCTCAATCATCCCTTGGTACTCAGTCTGTGTTGGATCAACACTTCTCAGGGGGCGAATGACTTTGCCAGAGTAGATGGTAGGATCTGCTTCTTCCGTAATACCATTCACTACAAAACAGAAATTTATAAATATATTCTATTTTATTTACACTCCAGCTCACAGGAAAGAGCAAAGATCACCAGAACAATGGGACAGACGACTGGTGGCTCTAGCCAGGTGGTGCAATTGGTTGGAGCATCTCACCAAAAGGTTGCGAGCTGGATCCCGGTCAGGGAACATACCCAGGTTTCTCATTTGGTATCTGGTTGGGGTGCAGGTGGGAGGCAACCACTTGATTTTTCTTTTTCACATTGACTTTTCTCTCTCTTCCCCTTCCTTTGCTTTAAGATTAAAAAAAAATTGGTTGGTTGCCAGCTATTTATTTCTAAACTACCATTAAAATAAAGTTAATTTGCTTAAGGAACTAACAAACATACATATTTAAAACATGTCTTGCTCTCTCACCTTCCCAGGTGACCAAATGATACTTTTTTGTGAGGCTTTCCCTGGTCTCTAAAATGGCAACCCAATACTCACATACATTCCTGATTTATGTTATATTAAAAGTATGTATTACTATCTTTCTAAGCATACTACATCCATATTTTACTCATCTCTGTTTGCTTGTAATAGGGAATATAAATATAAATCCCAAAGATCAGGAGTTGCTGATTTATTTACTGCTCCCGCCCCCTGCCCCCCAAAACATAGCATGCACTTAATATTTATCGAATGGAAATGAACATCCTTAGCTGTCATTTCTCTATGTCTAAATAAGAGAAAGTATTATTTGGGGAGATTAGATAAAAGTCAAAAGTTGACTGCAGACCTTTAAAAAATTAGAGATGCTAAACAGCAACGATTTTCTTAAGTTTCCATTATTTTTCACATTGAGTCATCCTTCTAAAGGAAAGCCTCTCTCCTCAACCCTGGGGAGATTTATATCTTGGGGCTATTTTTGAGAGATATTGAATTGAAAATAAAGAAAATAATCTAAAATATCTAGAACGGTGGTCCTCAAACCTCAGTGTTCATCAGAATCCCCCTGAGGATCAGTAAGACACGGCCCATCCCGGGTCAGAAGGCGGAGAGGTGGGGTGGGGGTCAGAGAGCCTATCTCCCTAAAAAAGGCCAGGGGAAACCGCTGGATCTGGGGGTCGCAGTTGGAGAACCTCTGATCTAAAAAAATTGAATTTTTTGCTCCTTCTCCCAGCCAATTATTCCTCCTCTCTCACCAAAGCAGAAACTGATAAATTACCCGAGTGCGTCTTGTTGACTTTCTCCGCGCTGACTTTGTTGCCTTTGCCTTTGGATAAACTGTACTCGACCATGTCCCCCAGCTCCAGGCTATCGACATCACCAGAGAACTCACTGAAGGGGAAAGGAAACGACAGTGAATAAGCAACAGTAACAAGCAGCCCTTCTTTCTTATGTAACAACATTCACAGTGTGCCTAGCTATACCGCTTTAAGCACATTATATGGACTGATTCATTTAATCCTCATACGCAACCTATGAGAAGGTACCATTACCCCCAACTTCAAGATAATGAAACTAAGACACCAGGAGGTAAAGTTCATAGATAGTAAGTGGTTCTAAGAGCCCATGCTCTTAACCACTATTCCATCTTATAACATCAAAATCACAGATACAACTCTGGCAGCAACATATAGAAGAGTATTCCTTTCACTGAACCAGAAAGTCTCTATCCAATGTTCACAACATGTACAAACCTTTCTACATCCTTTGGCCACATGTTCTCTCTACAAAAGATGATTAACTTTTCACTAATAAAAAAATTGCAATAAAAAATACATAACTGCCCAATACTAAATGTTTTTTACTCTAAAATCAAAGAATGAATAGTAAGCTGTAAGTTCCTAAAAAGGCATTTCTTACCTGTAATGGAAAAAGATTTCCTTATCATGATTGGCTGTTTCAATAAATCCAAAATTATCCTTCAGAGTTGCCACATAACCCAAGAGCCTCTTGGAGTTAGAATTTCGACCTAAAAGTCGCACACAGGTCGCAACCTGCTGTCCAGGCCTCTGTTTGTCACTAATACTAAACTCCACCTGTGGGAAATAAGGATCGTCATTAATACCATGTCATTTCCACACCAAGCTCCTAACTAACTATGCTTTCCACTCCAAATATCCTGTGTAAATAAATTCTTAATTTCTCTGAAAGAGGGCTATCAGAAAACCAGACATACGGAATAAAAGAAAAATGAAAGCAATATAAAATCATTGGTGTGAATTCATTTTGATAATGTTTCAGTGGCTGTCTTAACTTTCTTACTAGTATTAATTTTATCTAAGCTAAGTGATTTAGGCATATCTTACCTAATGTTTACATATTGGCTTCATAAAGAGCTTAAGAGCTTGCTAGACCCTGTTCTAATTGAATAAACTGTTCTTAACTAAGAGGTTCATATAGTAAAGTTGTAAGCACATAAAATTTTATTAGTACCATCTATCTGTGAAATTCCTACTATAACAACTATTTCACAGAATTAATAATTAAGATGCTCCCGCTCTAAAACAAGCAGGATTCTCTTACCTTATCCCCTATTTGAGGAGAAGTAGATCCATCCACATCCTTGGCTTGAAAAGCAATAGTCAATTTCACCCCACAATCATCATAAGCAATAATACCATCCTCAGCCTCCTAAAGAAGATAGAATACAATGAAAAGAATGTAGAACAAAAAAGCAATATAAAAACAGTGATAGTTCTTATAGACCCTTGAGCTAAAGAATTGGCACAGCTGTAAAAATGCCCTATCCAGGATTCTGACAATAGATTTTCAGATGAATAAAAAGCAGTCTTGCCTTAATCCAGAATTGATTCAATTTGCTATAATTGGGTCCTTTAGTCTTAAGAAGCTAATTCTTGCTGCTGAGGAAAACCTTATTGAAAATTTATTACATGCCCATTCCATACTATGCATAGCCAATCAAAAATCAGACTGGGCATGTATTTTCAACCAGGTGGAAATTCTGTAGGACAGAAAGACTTATCATCATCTGTTTTGAATATCCCAAAGTACTCACAGAATATAAAGTTAATCAATATATTTGCTAATGCATGAGGATTTGCAGTTCAGGGTATTTGATATTCAGGTAAGTGATTACGCTATGACAGGCCAATGTTTTCAAAGTAACACTTAAATCACTGTCAAACACCAGAGGTGACGCTAAGGATCTGACTCTGGTTAAGGGAAGAGTGATGTCATGTCGCTCAGGGAATTCAGGTCTGACTCCAATGGCATTGACTCTTGCCAGTTATATGATGTCACAATATCAGCATTCATTTGTGCTCCCCCCCCCCCATTAACCTCAATATCCAGTCAACACCTGACAAGACAGTATATACCGAGTATATTAACTAGAGATAAGATGATCCCTGCTCTAATGTACCTTCTTTTGTCTGCAACTATGCTGTCTCTAGTTCAAGAACTACTTAAACTATTGCTGAAACTGATTTGGCTCAGCGGTAGAGCGTTGGTCTGCAGACTGAAAGGTCCCAGGTTCGATTCCGGTCAAGGGCATATACATTGGTTACGGGCACATCCCCGGTAGGGGGTGTGCAAGAGGCAGCTAGTTGATGTTTCTCTCTCATCAACGTTTCTAGCTCTCTATCTCTCTCCCTTCCTCTCTGTAAGAAAATCAATAAAATATTAAAAAAAAAAAAACTACTTAAAACTATTAAATAATTTCCTATCCAGCCTCTTCCATCTTTTGTCTTTCTCCACCCCCTTCCAGGGTTCCTACTAATGCCAGTATCTTCCTGAACTGCACACCTGATGATGTAACCTTCCAACAGAAAACTTTTTCTGAGTACAGAACAAGGTCTACATTTCTTAAGAGTAGCAACCAACACCTTTATCTATCTGTATCCTGATCTTTTCATCCTTATTTCTCCGACTCACCCCACAAAAGGAAAAGTACCCATCTTCCTGTCAAACTACTTGGTGTTTTCTAAAGAAATCCCAAACATTTCTCCCCTGTATCTCTGTTGTAATGCATGTCCTTTCCTCATTTATCCCCACCTACTAAATGTCATGTTACAATGAAAACACCCCTGATTCTGCTAGTTTAGAATTGCACCAGAGTGAAAATGACCTTTTACAGACATTTTATATTCTATATGAATTGTTTCTATAAAAGCCTCCACTGTATTTACTCGATAGCAGATTTGGTGGACTTTTCAATAAACGAAGCTCAAATGTGTGAAGTGCATCTACCTATATTTGAAAGTTTTAAACTGTTCAGAAGAATGTACTGTCATTCTAGCAGGGTCATTTTAGGACACTTGGTAGTATCTAGAACCACTTTTGACTGTCACGCAGGGGGTGTGGGGCCTCTAGTGAGCAGAGGTTAGGGATGCTACTAAACATTCCACAACGCACAGAACAGCCCCATGCCCACAAAGAATTATCCAGCCCCAAATGTCCATAATGCTCATATTCAAAAACCTTGCTCTAGTTTAGTTAATATAACAGGGAGTTCTAAAAGATAATACCCCATTATTATGTGGAGAGTGTTTGCCTTTAAGCAGAAAAGGAATAAAGAGCTACAAAAATTACCGACTATGTAAGACTTACCTTCTCCTTGCCTTTACTTGGGCTAGTGGTTTTGGGATTGGGAAAAGTGGCTTCTTTTTCTACAGTGCCCAGAAAACGATGATCCGAATGGGAATGGAATGAAACCGTGCCCTTGGGAAGCTTTTTAATCCTAATAGCATGATTTCTTTGGGCAGAGAGCATATCCTACAAGCAACAAACAAAAATAACTTAAACTGGAAAAGGAAGCATAAAAAACAAAATCACTGACTTTTCTCAAAAATTACTCACAGGAACCACAGTAAACTCTACTTCATCTGCAATATGGAGCTGGTTCCCATCCAGAATCTCACTATAGTGGAAGAACATGCGAGCATCGCGATCCACACACTTGATGAAGCCAAAACCATCTCTCATGGCAGCAATCACACCCTGAAACACAAATAAATTACATTGGCTATGAAGCTTTTCAAAACAACATTTAAGCAAACAAACATACTCAAGTTAAATTAGGAATTCTTTGACCCAAATTCTGTATCCACACTAATTTTCCTTTCATCTTTTTTCATTTTAAGAGTGTGTTTATTAAAGCTGGGGACCGTGAAACAAGGAAGGGCGAAGTAGAGAAGCAGCAACAGGAGAGCCTGAGCAGGGCTCTTGGCTGAGAGTCAGAGAAAGGGGGCCTTGGAGACGGCTTCAGGGGTTAGCTTGGGACGAGCTGCCGCTGTCCACTGCTCCCTGGTGGAAAGTTTCATGGGGTTCCCTAGAGTTTAGAAGATGTACCCTGTGAGGGAAGGTGAGGGGAAAGAAACAGCTGTGGGTGTCCAGGGAAGGAGAGAATGCAGTAATTTTTCCATTTAAATACAAACTCACTGCTTTCAGCAAAGTAAACCAATTTCTAAGCAACTGAGACCCGCCAGATGCTACACTCCTTGGCCAACATGCACTAGGAAAAGTTGTATTTCAATGTAAATATATGCAACTTGTACTCCATTTAATTCTCAATTCTGTGAACTTAGTAGTATTATTATGTTTTTGTAAGATATGACAGTCAAGGCTGAGACGGGTTAAACAATTTGTCTAAAGCACACAGCTAGTAAGCGGCAGACAAGATTACAAACAAAGTCCAAACTTAATGACAATATGATTTCCAGAGATATAAAAAAAAAAATCTATAGGCCGAGACTTCAAATACTTGAACAGTCAACTAAAGGTAACTCTCTGATCTATACTTCAAAAATCTTAGGTGAGTTTAGGCACAGAAAGGACTTAAGGTTTAGGTCTAAAGACTAAGATAGAGAAAATCCTTCCTCACTAAATTATCAGCTCTGTGAGGGCATTAGATCCAGAGCGGAGGGCACATGGCAGGTCCTCAAATGTTCACTGAAGCACAATTACTGACATTTAATCCTTGCTAAATCCTAATGGTAGCCAAGCTACTCAACAATGAACTCATGCCATAAAGCAAAAGCAGATCCTGCCTGAGAAATGTTTTTTTTAAATCATGCGTTTAAATCTCCAGATTTTTAAAATTAGTTTTATTTTATTGTTCAAAGTATTACATATAGTAGAAAATCTATCTCCTTTATTCCCCCCATTAATCTTCCCCCAGTCTCCCCTACCCGCCCCCCATCGCATGCCCTCATCCCCCCCACACCCGTGTCTTCTGTCCATTGGTTGTGCTTATATGCATGCATACAAGTCCCTTGGTTGATCTCTTTCCCCGCCTCCCCAACACTCCCCAGCCTTCCCGCTGTAATTTGACAGTCTGTCCGGTGCTTTACTGCCTCTGAATGTATCTTTTTGTTCTTCGGGTTATAATGTTTTTTATTTTCCATAAATGAGATCATGTGGTATTTTTCTTTCATTGCCTGGCTTATTTCACTTAGCATAATGCTCTCCAGATCCATCCTAAATCTCCAGATTTTTAGTTAAGATATACTGTAGATGTTATGACTCAAAACAGAACTAAATGTAAATTACATTAGGGAAAGTTAATTCATGAAAACTGAGCTTGTAAAAAACAATCCTGGTATATGTCACTCCTAACAGATACCCACTAAAAGAATTCACAAAGTCCAGACGTAAAAACAAAAGAAACAAACTTCTCTATTTTTAATCTTCTGTCTTCATATATAAGGGCCAGATAACCACCGACTCTCAGAAGGCCTTGAAAATCATCCTGTCAAATTTCCATTCTAAAACTTCCCCACATCTTGCCGAAACCAGTTTGGCTCAGTGGATAGAGCGTCCGCCTGCGGACTGAAAGGTCCCGGGTTCGATTTTGGTCAAGGGCATGTGCCTTAGTTGGGGGCACATCCCCAGTGGGGGGTGTGCAGGAGGCAGCTGATCGATGATCCTCTCTCATCCATGTTTCTAACTCTCTATCCCTCTCTCTTCCCCACATCTTTACAAGGTTAAGTAGCAGAGCTAGATGTCAAACCTAGACTGACTCGCACTGTGTTATTAATTACCTTAACAAGCGACAGCCCAATATTGTCATTCACTTAAATAATTTTTAATATAGAATTATGCCACTCCACCTTTATCCCGATACTTACAACAGCCAACACTTACCATTTCTCTGGCTTCGTTAGTGAACTGAAATGTATTTGATAGAACTTCTATGTTGGTTGCTCGTTCTAATTTGTCACGTCGATCTGTTGAAATATTAAACCTAACATGGTCGCCTTCCAACAGGGTCACCTTGGATTTCGTATCTTTGTCTCCAAAGGGAAGTTCTTTAGGAATCACAAAGTTAACTTTAATGCGCCCCGGCAGTGGGTCATTCTGATGAGAAGGAAAAACTATTTTTAGCTGGAGATTTCCCACCCTTCCTAGTTCTAAGTCAAACAAGAACACAGCAAACCCACACTATTTGTAACAGCTCCTTAAGGGAAAAAAGGGGTGGATAACTAAGTCCGCTCTGAAAGCTCTGTGCGCTGTGGTAACACGATAAAACCACGGAAGCACAACACTACAGCAAAGGTCCCGATGCAGCAGTTTTAAGGAAAACGGTTTTAGGTTTTTATGTTTTACATTTCCTTAGCGCTATCGCTGACTCCTACCCCCATTCGTTTCCCAGACTCCTCTCTCTCACCCACAAAAGAAACAGAACGCACCGGCAGCGGGTGACAGTGGTGGAAACAAGTGTGCCCCAAACTGTCGTCTTCCATTTTAACAAGCGCCGCTCTGTGCCCTTTCCTTATGGCTCAGTATCACAACAAAACAGAATTAAAAAACTGCACTCATGGATACATCAATCAATAGCTTCTCATTTAGCTTAATTAGACATATCAAGAAATATTTCATTGCTCTAATACCACTAACTACATGAATCAAATAGAATCAAAATTCTGTTACCGATGAGGCAAAGACGACTGCAGAAAAAGACCATTTACCTGGTTTTTACTGGTAACTTTTGGGATAACTTTGGTTACAGTTCCTTCAAAATGTTCAAAGCTGATATCTTCAAAAATGACTGTTCCTTGAGGCAATAGTCTGACATCCGTTGCAACTTCTTTACCCTAAATCCAAAGGGGGTGGGAGGGCATGTCATTTTAAATGTTTCCTAAAAATGTAATTCATTACTGATCTTACAAAGTCACGTAAAAGTAGTTGGCGGTCTTACATTCCTGTCCTTGATTGTGAATTCCACGTCATCTCCAGGCTGTAAGGCTTCCAGGTCACCCTTAAACTCACTGTAGTGAAAGAATATCTCTTTGACAACATCACCTCTTTCAATAAAGCCAAACGCCTCCTGCAGCCAAACAAGAAGTCACAAAGATTATATACTGGTAAGTTTGTGTATTTATGATTACAATTAACAATCAATAAACCTTCTCATAAAATTATACTATGAAACAATACATTGAGTAAAGCCCAATACTATCAATTAAATGGCCCATTTTAAAGAACATAATGAATTAGTAACCAAAGAATTTTAAGAGATTATTAAGGTTAACAGTAAAATATTTTCAACGAGAAGACAAAGAGGAAAAACAAAAGCTTTATTAAGTTTGAAGTAGAAGACATAAAATAGTCAAAGAAAAAAACTCAAGTTTCTCAAATTGATATTTACCTTCATGGCACAAACTACTCCCTGACAGCGGGCTTGTTTCTTTTTCAACAGCATAATGTTCCGAGCACTCACAGCACCAGTGCTAGAAGGGAGTAAGTGGGCGGGAAAGGGTATCACAAAGGGGTGAAAATGCAATGGTTTGGTTAGATATGGTGAGTCGAAAGGAACAAACAATAAGGTAGTTTTCTGAGGCCTCAAGAATTCTGTCACAGTAAGGTTTATGACACCTGATTGTTTTCACACGGCTTCATATGCAAAAAAACTTTTGCTCAAAATCCCTAGCCTTCTCAATGAGGAACAAACATATAATCATTGTTCTCTTGAACTGTTAAAATGACACCATGGTACATGATGTTCTGCTTTTTCCATTACAACAAAAGAAATAAAGCCACAACGACATGCAACCAAAGACAGGGAATGCCCCTCTTAGGAAGGCCATTCATTAAACGCACATGTGAATAGTCATTCTGTGCTACAAGCAAAGGTACTGGAGATAGAGAGCTGAATAAGAGATGGCTGGTTGGCAATGACTGACTTTAGTAACCATTTCATCAATTTTTTCCCCCTGATTAAACAGCCATAAAAAGAAAGATGAGTAAATGCAGTTATTATAGGGGAAATTTGCTATGCTTTACAAAATGATTCACTTATGATTGAAACCAGTTAGATAACATCACATGCTGCTATACTGTCCCCATCTCTGAGCAGTAGCAATGGACATTTGATTTCGTTTTAAAGATGGCAGACTGTGTAAGATGCAATAGTATTTGTTGATGCAGTTGCTTTTTAAGAGCTGCAGACCAAGCAATTACTTCTCTTAATTCTTCATGAAGAAATTGTAACCAAACTGTGCTTTTTACTTCAAAAATCAGACACAGAAAAAAAATTCCTACTTGCCTTTGCAACTTGCTGAAGTGAAAAGGCTTTTGACTCATTGGGATTTAAATATCTGCCATTGAAAACTTTAGGACCGTTACTGTATGAGAACAAACCTCGGTTTATAGTTTTGTTATCAGGCGAAGCTATTCTGAGGATTAACAGCTATTTCACTGCGATGCCTGCACATGTGAGAACCTGATAAAGGTTAAGTAAAGCCCTCTCACTGGCTCCCCCTCAAACTCAAGCTCTAGCCTCTGGTTTCCTTCTTGAGATTAAACTGAGGTATTCAGATTTAACTTTGTAATATCCAAAACCACAACTCAATCTAATTCCTTCGAGTCTTACAGAAGGTAAGGCTCAAGGCCAATGATTCTGCACAAGCTCTTGGGACTTTTGCTGCTGGAAAGTGCATTTCTAGCACTTTTCCAACTTCCCATTTTTAACCTCCTTCTGTGCTTTTATTTCCCATCTCCCCCACCCCCAAATAAAGATAACCATCCTTGGGCTTCCTAACCACACTTTCCTTAACTGCGTATGCCCTGGAAATCAACAGCTATTATTCCCTGCACGTTGCTAGCTCCTCTCACTTCTAGGTGTAACTGCATATTCAATCTTCACCCAGAAATACCTCAAATTCCAAATATCAAACTAAATATAATTCTTTTCCCACCTTCCCAGCCCTGGCCTTTTTGTATTGGGCCCTCAGCTTTCCTCTCACCTCTGTGTAACTGCCCCTGCGTCAGAGCATCCCCTCTCCAGAGGCTGCCCTCCGCCCTCCCAATAATCCAACGCTGTCATACTAAACTCCCTATGGGACAGAGCTCAAGCTGCTTCTTCCCGTGACCCAGTCAATTCAATCAACGCCAAGTATTCCCCAGACACTGCCTCTCACCAGGACCCTGTCTCCCCTCACCTCCGTAGGGGCTTACAAGCTCCCCCCAAAGCTCACACCACTGCTGTGCTCTCGCAACATCTTCACCAACCTCTGGAACAGCTAACTCCCTAAAGACTGTTTTCTAACTATCGTCCTATTTTTGACATTCTTTACAATACCCATCATGGAATGCACCCTCTCAAATGCTTAGTGATCAATGAAAAATTTACAGGATCATAAACATTATCCAGTTACAAGCTAGGTTTATAACTCCCTTCAAATTTCTTATTGCAAAAAAGGAAAATCATGTAGGTGGGGGGGTGGGGGGAGGGAGAACTTACTGTTTATTGTTATCAATTACAAAATTTATTTTATCTCCGGTTTCCAGCTGAACATTCCCTTCCACGTCTTCAGGGGTGTAAGTCAGATAAAACACTTCCTGTGAATTAATAAGTTATTATTACTATATTGGCAGGATGCATGCTTACGGTATAGTGTGACTTACTTTGTTAAATAGCTCTTAAACTGGCATTTTAAGCCAAATTCCTTAAAGTTAAATGCTTTATGACAAGCACATTGTTTATTCATATAAACACACACTTCCCCTCCATGATGCTGATGACTTCTGCGAGTCCACAGCTGAGCAGCAATCCAACTTCAAAAAGCTTACACACGGAAGCGTTTGCCCAGAGACTGTAGTTACATTTCAAAAGACCCATTTTTATAAAAGGCATTCCAAACCAAAAAGCTGGAGTTAGTGCTTAAAAGAAACCAGAAAAAAGATCCCCTCCCTCAACCCCCAAAAAGTGAGTAAAGGAGCATTTTACCTTAATTTCTAACTAAGGTCACACGTGGGCAAGCTAAAACACTTGGAAGCCCTATAGATTTTTGTGCTTTTAATGTTTTTGTTATGCTGCACTCAAAGCCTTAGAAACCAAATTTAAAATTGATTTTATCTACTGCAGCTTACGTTTTTTATTTTGAATTAAAGGACGCTTATAGGTCACATGGTGGATCAGGCAAAGGTTTAAGAAAAATACACAAGTTTACCCCATTACGTTCGTAGCATACACTCCCTGTTGGACTCTGACCCGGGGCAGCTGGAGATTTACTCTCTAAGTTGTGAGGAACAGCGCACACAACCTACCAGTCAAAAAAAAAAAAATTTCCATTGCTAATCATTTCAGGAGCAGCACTGTGCAATATAAACTGAATTTTAATATCCTCTATATTCTACACAGGGATGCATTTAGTATGATCCACAGAGGATGCCATGCTGCCAAGTTTCCAACTTACAGACATAAACGGACTGTAAGTGCAAACTCTGGGTTCTTTATAAAAACCCAAATTGAGTCTTGACCATTTTTAAATTTCAGGTCAAGAAATGCCAGTGCTTCTGATAGAATTTTAAAATAATGATCTTTATATACTATAGCTCTCTTGCGTGCAAACTGAGGAGATGGGGATCTTCCTTTGCTAATGGGAAAGATATGCAAATGCAGGGCCCGAAGAACACACGAAGCATCAAAGCCACTCACTTGTCCGTTCATTCGGTCTTCAGGGAGGGTTTCTTGTTTTATCTTCACCAGCTTAACAGCGATGGGTTTCCCAGTCCGCCGGTCAGATGATACTTCGAACTCAACATCATCTGAAATATAGAGTGCTGTTTGTTGTACTGATTTTGATAAAACAGTATCTCATGGTCAACCTACACTTAATGTGGCATTTTAGCTGCCTTACACTAGTGATTCCCAAAGTGGGGTCCCTGCGCCAACAGCAGCCACTCCCTGGAAGCTTGGCAGAAACACAAGTTCCCGGGTCCCACTCCAGTCCTATTAAAAAGCAATCTCAGGGCAGCAGTACAGCAATCTAAGCTTTTAACAAGTTTCCAACTTACAGACATAAACGGACTGTAAGTGCAAACTCTGGGTTCTTTATAAAAACCCAAATTGAGTCTTGACCATTTAACAGGTAATTCTGATACACATTAATGTTTCAAAACCATTGCTTTAGACTAAGCCATATCTTAGCTTTCATTGCATTTACACATGCTGCAAATAAGGCAATATAACAATCATGACCTTTGGCAAGTTATTTTAACCTCTGTACCTCAAGCGTATAACGAGAACTAACCGAAATAATATTCTCACAGGGTTTAGAGTACATGGTACATAATATATTCATGTTAACTATTGTTCATACTTTTGCCTCCTCAGAGATATTTTTAAAAATACACACTGAGACTTGTTAACGTCAGTCCTTTAATAAATAAGCCACACATTTTCACATGGAAAAATGGCTTCTCTGGCGTTAGTCAAGATGATTTTTCATATAGTGCAAGTGTGAAGCTGTACGAGTTATTTTTTCAGGTACTACCAAACCAGTACCTGGTAAAATAATCAAAACTAACACTAGAAAAGTTGAATCTTTCTATGGGCCTAAAAATCAAGTACAGTATAAAGAGGAGTAACTTAAACCTTCTAAGTATCTATTTTAAAAATATTCCAAGGTATCTTTTAATCAATCAGCCTTTCATGGCTCAAAAAGACAACACTACAATAGAAATCAGAATTCTGCTGGTTTATATAGACATACTTCAGTAATTGGTAGAATTAAAAGACCTAAACTAACACTCATTAGCAAGTTGATATGAAAAAGAAATTTGTGACTGGTTTTTAAAAAAGGAGAATCAACAGATTACCTCCTACTTTTAAGTCCTGCAGGTTGCCATTGTACTGTGAACAGTGGAAGAAGAGTCTAGCTTGCCGTTCTGAACACTGAATGAATCCGTAGGAGGTTAGCAGTTTCTCAATAACCCCTGTTTCTCGCAGTGCTGCTGAAGTACCATTGGGGTACCCATTGTGTCCATTGTTGTGGAGAAGGTTTGGATCAAAGCTCATCTGTTTTGAAAAGAAAAAGAACTCAATATATATAGATCTGTACATTACCTCCACAGCATAGGCCTAATTAACAAAACATTAAATTTTTAATATAAAAAGGCAAACAAAATAAAGATAAAACCGATAAATGGGAGATTATGGGCTTTTATTGTTGAAATGTAAATTTAGCTATTAAAACATTTCAGAGTATTTGAATTATTTTGGGAAATTGTCCCAATTTATGGTAGAATTTTTGCTTACTAGAAAAACAAATTTTCAGATGCTAGTATTAAGGTAAATCAACAACGTAAGTAAAAGCTGCCTTTATGTCAACTTTAAGAACAATCTTAAAACAATTTGGTAATTATTATTTAAGAGATGGCAATCTAAACTATAAGCACACTTCCTTAAGAAATTTATTAACACTTACTTTGAAACTTAAAATGGAAACCTTAATACTATTTTATAAGCCATGTACCTTGAAAACAATTAAGTTAGTAGAGATTAAATAAACTTTATAGGCAATACTTATTTCAAATCAGAAATTATCAGAATGCATGCATGCTTAGGTTCCTTTAATGGAAAACAAAATAGTGAGTTAGAAAACAAGTGTTTTTTAACATAAACTCCAAGAAAAAAATTCTTCAATTCTGAAAATGTTCAATCATTTCACAGGTACTTTTAAGAAGTCTTCACCTGTTTTAGACACTGATAAAATCTCTAAATGTCGTTATTTTTATGATCAGATAAAGCAAAGGAAAACGTTCCTTAGAGAAAAGGGGAGCTATTTAGATGTAATGCAATGCAACCTCTTTAGTTCATCAAATACTATCCTCACATCGGATATTTCATTAAGCCATAAAAACAAATTATTTGTGATTTATAAGCATTTCGTTTAAGTGCAAAGTTGAACATTAATAAAAACGTTTTTCAGCAGGAAAAAGTCCTCAGGTTGTAGGAAGATAAAGCCAAGCACAAATACTTAAACAATGTATGGGGTGGCCAGATCATGCAAATCAAAGCTATCGAATTTAGTTCTAGTTCTTTCATGCTTAATATTATTCTGTCTGACATGTGTTAACTCATTTAATCTTTACAAAAACCCAGGAGAAGTATTTCCCCATTTTAATAGTGAAGAAACACAGAGACTAAATGACTCGCCAAAGTCAAATGGGAGAGATGTCAAACCAAGAAGGGCCAATGTCTACAATCTGGGCTCCACACTAGGCAATCCAGTGATCTGGTTAAAATACACACTCTGACTCAGAGGGACAGGGGTTTGATTCTCCACTTCTCACAAGCTCCCGAAGTGACACTTTCGATTCTAAGACACACTGTGAGCAGCACAGTCCCACACTACTGAACTTTCTTTCAAGATTGAAGGTGCAGGAAATGCTGGGAGTTAGAAAGTGAGTCTGCAAGGTATTTTAACCGAACTGAGTAGCCCTAAGCCATGCTCCAAACACAAAGCAAACAGGCTGGGGTAACTGCTTCCCTGACTTACAGATCTCTGATACATGGGGGTCCTCTTTTGTTTTTTTGTCCCAGATGAGGTAGAAGATGAAGATAAAGAAAGTGAAGGAGGGGATGCAGGAGGGGGATGAGGATCTGATGACACAGTAAAAACGTTCTCCATCTTAAACAGCTGTGATAACATAGCACAATGTTTATAACCGACTTACATAGCAAACTAATATTCAGAATACAAAGATTAGGTTAAAGAAAAAGCACTTCTACTTGAAATCCATTTCAATAGAATGAAATGGAAATCTTGATATCTAGTCTTTTACCTTTCTGAATAAAGGTAAAGCAGTATTCAATTTTTATTATCTTATCTAACCCAGTACAATCAATCATTAACCATCTAAACTTTTATAAAAAAAAACCAAAATAACCAAAAACAGATGAAGAGGTATGAAGAAACAGAGGAAAAGCAAATGACACAAATGAACATTCTCTTCTTTGTCACACTATCTTTTATTGCTATAAAGTGAGGAATCCTTTCTGAATTTCAAGCCTAATACTATCCACTTTAGAAAACTTAAGATTAAAAAGGAAAATTGATCTTCATAAATCTAAATTCCCATCTAAATCACTATTGTTTAGCATTCCATATTAGCATACTTCCTCAACTTTGAATTAGTGGATGAATACAATAAATCTCCACAATGTAGGTTTAAAAAAAAATATGTGTGTGTATATATATATATATATATATATGTTATATATATATATATATATTATTGATTTTTCACAGAGAGGTAGGGAGAGAGATAGAGCTAGAAACATCAATTAGAGAGAATCATCGATCAGCTGCCTCTTGCACACCCCTTACTGGGGATGTGCCCGCAACCAAGGTACATGCCCTTGACCGGAATCGAACCTGGGACCTTTTAATCCGCAGGCCGACGCTCTATCCACTGAGCCAAACCGGTCCCAGTCACAATGTAGGTTTTAATTCCAGCAGGTCCCCACTGAAACTGATGAGGACTAGTCCACATTCCTGAAGTCACTGCCCTTCCTTAATTATCTGGTCTCGCAAGAGCTATTTATCTAAACACTTCCCATTTACAAGGGGCCCTAAACCAAGGATGTAACAGCTTAACTAGAGGGAGGTTACTGGCCCATGCAGGACAGCCATTAGTTACAATCTATATGATCTAAATGAACCATTCTAGCTGACTGGGGGCTGGGCGGTGTGAGAGTCCACCACAGAAGCTTAGTAGTTAGGAAACAAAGAAACTCAGAAATATATAGAGAGAAAATCTCACTGTCTAAGCTGTTCAGAACCTGGACCTTATAGAGGCCCTGAACCAGAGCGCTGCTTTGAATAAAGGCTTTTCCTGAGCCTCTAAGCGTCCAGCTGTCTTCTTCCACACCAATTCTATAACAAAACGTCCCATTTTCACAAACCGTTTCTAGCTTGGACAACTGGATAGACTGTAAGTCAATTCCCTCCAAGCTCTCTTCACATTCAGTTGGTCACCACGTCCTATCACTTCCACCATTAGAACACCTAGCTAGCACCCACCTTTCTTGGACTGTACCCTAAGGTTTACCTTCCTGATGCTCTAGCCACCGCTTTTAACAGGTCTTTCCATGCTGTTAAGAGCAGTGGGTCCACATCTCTCTTAAAAGTGGACCCATTTATCTTTGAAGATATACTTCTAAATATATAACTTTAAAATCTGAAGCTATCTCTTTTGAAATACAAAATCCATTAAACTCTTGCTTACAAACATCTGGCAACTTTCCTACAGAATCAAGTCCAATATAGTGGCCCTACAGAACCTGCCTCTAACAGCCTCCCTTCCAGTTACTCTCCATCTCCCCACTCTTCACGACGGACCACTCAGCATACACCATGTGTTTTCACTTCCACCAGAAGACTCTTCTCCCTCTTAACAAAGTAGTGCTTGACAAAACCGGTTTGGCTCAGTGAATAGAGCGTCAGCCTGCGGACTGAGGGGTCCCGGGTTCGATTCAAGGGTGCAAGAGGCAGCTGATCAATGACTCTCATTGATGTTTCTAACTATCTTTCTCTCTTCCACTCTGTAAAAAGTTAATAAAATATATTAACAAAACAAAACAAAAAAACAAGAACAAAGTACTGCTCACCTTCAAATGAAAGTTTTCTGTAGGCTTTCTTTATCTTAGGTTACAAAGACCTCCACACAAATACAATGTAATACAACGGACATTCCTACCTGAAATCCTAGCTTCTAAATAGTACAGATGGAGTTTTTCTGAGACCAATAAACCAAGAGATCTGCATATATATGAATAAACACAATCTTATGGGAAAAATATCTCAATTTTGGCCATAAAAGTGCTCCCATCAAGCAAGACAATAATTTAATCTAGTGATATTTCAACTCAATAGTTGAAAATGTGGTTTTCTGAATATTTTTAGAAGAGAACTGATTAGTAAAAGGATTTTGTATCTGATCAAATAATTAGGAAATCAGAATTATAAACGGACTAGAAGCCTAGTGCACGAAATCGTGTGGTGACCTGCAGGGTGATCACTGGGGCCCCCTGCTGGCACCCACATTGGCCAGCCTGGGGCCTGCTCCTGCATTGAGTGTCTGCCCCCTGGTGGTCAATGTACATTGTTCTGCTGTTTAGTCGATTTGCATATTAGGTTTTTATTACATAAGATTACTGTCCATCACGAAACTACAAACCTACCTCGCAGTGATAATCAAATATTGCACTTTCAGTAGTATTTGCTGATTCTTCTTTTTCAGCACACGTTTCAAAGGATGAAAGTTGCTAGTATTAAAAAAAAAAAAAAAAAAAAAAAAAAAAAAAGGAGAGCGAGAGAAAGTGATCTATCAAGCTAATAAGAAATATAGCTGCTGCTGCCCGGCAGTCTCAGCACAGCACTGAGGAAACAGACTACTAGCAGCGCGGGGAAGTGCTCTTTCAGAGCTGTTGAGTAGGCACAAACTTCTTGTTTCAGATCAAGTGTTGTGTCTTCAACTTAAGTTAAGTGTACTCTTCTTTGGTCTTGTTGGTTGTTTCAAGTTTGTTCTTTGCCTGATCTGAACTTGAAGCAGCAGTTTCAGGTGGTAAAGTCTGTTCTGTTACACTTCATACTAGAAAGAAAAAAAAAAAAAGGATTAAAGACATTAAATATAACTTCCATAAAAGAACCCAGGACAGAGGATAGGTATGGGGATCAATCAGTTCATCTCATTAACTTAGAATCATTGGTCAAGCAAGCAATACAGGCAACTTAGAAGCACATTCATTTGATGTTATTCGAGCAATCTCTCATGTGCTAATGAATACACTTCCTTTAACATCAGATACTCAAAACCAGAAATTATTTCGGTCATTGTTGATACCGCCCTCAAGCCTCTAAGTTACATAACGTAATATTTAGTACAAGTGTTTTATAAACATTTAGCATTATGTGAGGAAGTTCCTGTCATTACAGGGGGTTGACACTCTGCTGAGAAGAATTATACATGAAGAAAAACAGAATATAAGACAAAAATGTCAAAAATTAATTTGCTCAACTAATATCTGGGTGCCCACTACGTCATATACTAGAAATACTAGGTATTGTTTAATCATCACTGTATGTGTATCAAAGCAACATGATGAGCAAAGTCAAAGAGGGCTTTTAATAAAAGCTGGAATTTGAGCTTAATTTGGAGAAATGGGCAGATTTTTAAGAGAAAGACAACAGGTGAGGCATGAAATATCATAGAAGCCAAGTCAGAGTATGCCACTAAATTCTAAATCCCCTGAGAGCAGGGACCATGCATATGATGCTCTCTGCCCAGCATATCCAGGGAGGTTTATTGCATGAATGACTGGGTGACAAGTGTGGCTCGTTGTTCTCAAAGGAATCAATAGGCCAGCTGGCTAGGACAAAGTGTGGATGAAAGTGAAATGGGATATGTGATGTGACAGGTGTCGTAGAGCCAGGCTATGAAGCATTTCAACTTGATATAACAGGAAACTGTCTTAGTTCTTTCTTCTTTTCTTAAATTGATTTCAGAGAGGGAGGAGAGAGGGGGGGGGGGAGGAGAGAGAAAGAGAGAGATAGAAACATCAATGATGAGAGAGAATCACTGCCTGCCTGCCTGCTGCACGCCTCCTAATTGGGATCTCGATGCACTGAGCCAACCAGTAAGGGCAGCCTTAATTCTTGATGAGAGCATTAAGTCTTGAAACGCTTTGAGAGGTAGATGACTTAATGAAGGAAGCAGAGAAACATTAATGAGCTGTTGCCATAAATAGATGAGAAATGTCTATAGAAGAAAAATAATTAAGATGAGATGAAAAGAGGAATATATGCATAAATACAAGAATTATGCTTTATATTAGCTATAAAAATTATTTTGCACTGATTCAAATGTTAACGAAAATGATTTCTCTGGGAAGAAAAAGGTAGATTTAGTCTTAGAGAAGCTGAAAAATGAATATATATTTGAAAAACATCACAAATAAGAACATAAGGAAAAAAAAAAAAAGAGGCCAGCCAGAGTTGGTGAAATAGCTTAGACTAGCACAGCTCAATTCTAATCAGTGATACTAATAAAATGCCAGTATGAAGTTACTTAATCTCACTAAATTTCAGTTTCTCATATGCAAAATGAAAACTTAGTAATAACTGATTTGTGGCCATTTCTTTTGTAGTTATATCTAACATCCCTTGACATTACATTGCTACTTCAAATATCAACTGTTAACATTTGTTCAAACACCATTTTATTTGGATCATTCTCCTAATAACCAGACTAGATACTTATTCTTAGAGCTATGGTTCTCAAATCACGTGGGCAGATTTAAAATATACCCACGCCCAGGACCCACTCAAGGAGTATTTAACTGGCTTACAGTAGAGCCACTTCCATAATGACTGAGTCATCCCTCTCCACCTCCACGCCCAATGTTGCAAGTCTTAACAATGTTTCCTTAAGGTATCTTTTGTTTTCATCTTAACATACTAAATGACATCATATGTTAATCCAGGTGTCTAACACAGCTTCCAGCTGCCAGTGTCAATCCCCTCCATTTTCCGTCAAATAATACTGCCAAGACTGATCTAAAACTTCAATTTTATCCCACCTCCTTGTCCAAAACCCTGTGATTTTACCACACTCTTTATGGTAAGTC